AATAAACAGCAGTAAGTCTGTGTGTTACATTTATAAATAAAGATAAAAGAGGTGGTTTGCTTGGGTCAGGAAGAGTAGAAGTGCTTGTGGTGGGGGAGGAATTCTGGGAGTTGAAGTCCACACATCTTAAAGTTGCTAAGGTTGAGAAACCCTGGTTTATAGGCTTATCATGTTGTGTGAACCCAGCTATTGCAAACCCCCAGTGCAATATGTGAACCTGGTCAATCATGGCTTGTTGAACAAACCATGGCTAAAACAAACCACAGTTGATGGGTGAACTTAGCCATGGTGTGTTCAGCAGTTAATTCAACTCAGCCATGGTGTGTTCAACAATGTCTGCAACCGAGTACCCTCCAGATGTGCTGGATTTCAATTCCCATATGGTGCAAGATGGCATTACTCCCAGTGAGATTTTGTGTATGTGTTGTGTGTGTGAATGTGTGTCTGTGAGACAGAGGGAGTCCCAGTTTGACAAAGAGAAGCCATCACTGCCAACTGGGCATCAAACAGGGATGTCCACAGGGTGTGGTCAAAAAAGTCAAGATGGTGCAACACACATAAAAAGAGGCAGGCCTTTCATTGCCCTGCCATGGCCACCATCTTGACTTTTTTGACCACACCCTGCAAACACCCATGGCTTTCAATCTATAAAACGGCAAGGGGTCATAGATCAAAAGCAAAACAAATGGAAGATAAAGTGTTAAAATCAACCCTTTGGGTTTACTTGGACAGAAGCCAAGCCTTGTGGGTGCAGGGCTGACGTTGCAAGACAAAGGCATTCTGTGTATGTTCAGAGGCCCTTTCAGGGCCCATAATCTCAAACTCAACCTGATTCCAGACCAAATCTGGAAGCCTTCCCTTGGTGGGGAGTGAGAAATCTCACCTGTCAATTATGCCAGAACCACACCGTTTGTGTCATTACACGTTAAGGACTGGGAGAAAACAGAGATGGAGAAAGTGTTATTGGCTGTGCCTGGACTACAATTCTCATCCTTCCCATCCAGCTTGGCTGCTGGCCTTCCGCCTGGGGACGATGGGCTTTGAAGAAGTTCCCCTCCTTTGGGGATCATCAGGACTGGAGTGGAAGATGACACAGAAATAGGTGTCAACGTCTGGATGGCTCAATCACACCACGCACACCACACTTCAATCGGGCCAGTTAACACTTGTATTCACACAGGAGGACCTTGGTTAGTTTGAGGCTTGTTTGGGGGGCTTTGGGGGGGCTGTTCTGTCTATTTTCAGAACGCAGCCCATTGAGTAACCAGGTCACGAAGTCGATTCGGGCTGCGCACTCCAATTTTTCTCCACAGCCCCAAGAGGTCAGTTGGGGGGAGAGACTAACCCCAGGTCAGGCCAGGGCACTCCCATGGCTGGGGGGAGCAGAACCTGGGTCTCCCCACTCCCACTCCAGCCCTTCCTGGGAGAAATGCACAAGCGTTTTCAGTACAATCCATGTGGAAGCCCACGAACCTTTGAGAAGTTCTCAAGGTATGGGAAGCTACAAGGATGGTGGGGGTGTATCAACCAGATTTGTATTCTCCAAACCAGTGTTCTTCAACCTGGGCAACCCGAAGACGTGGGGACTTCAACTCCCAGAATTCCCCAG